ACACTTTTTTATTTTCCTTTTTTTTAACCGCCATTTCTTGGTCTAAGTCTTGCTAACCGGGTTATATGGTTCGGAGGATCCAGATCTCTCCGTTTTCGACATTAAGAGTTTGTGGGGGAAAAAAAGTTTGTTTTGTGCACAATGTGATCATGGCGATGAATGATGATGCTGCCTTTGCTTTGCCTTCTCTCTCTCTCTCTCTCTCTCTCTCTCTCTCTCTCTCTCTCTCTCTCTCTCTCTCACACACACACACACACACACACACACGCTATTTTCCCTCCCTTTTTTGCATCTCTCAAAGACACACTTTCTTATTCCCATGCGCTCTCTAAAGTGATCAACGCCCATGAAAAAAGAAAGGAAAGAAGTGTTTTTTGTTTTTTTGTTTTGTTTCTAGATAGAGAAAATATGGATAACAACAACTGTGGGTGTTGGGCTATTCTGAGGTGCAGTACTGTAATAAGAAGCGCCTGTAATAATTCCGATGCAAGAAACTCATCCGCCACCATTCCGAGGAGTAGTCTTGTTTATGATGCTGCTGGTAATAATGAAATTATTAAATAATTTCTTTGTTTTCTTGCTCTGAATTAGCCCAATTTTGCCTCTGTCTTTGTCGATCGGTATTTTTAGATTAATGGGTACTGGCTGAATCTTTTATTCATACGAAATTGCTGAATCTGACCTCCATTGATTGTCTGTGTCTATGTTGATCATTTGTTCTGTTTAATGCACGTCAACTGTTTGAAGAAAGTCCTCTGAGAAAAAAGTTACATTCTTGAGTCTTAAAGCAAAAGTTATTAATTCTTTTTATTATTGTTAATGTAGCCACCGAGACACGGTATCTGAATGCAAGCAACCGTGAAATGTGCGGTCCAGATGAATCCCGAAACTCATCTGACGACCCCAATTCACATCCGCAACACCAACTTCTTCAATTTAGTTTCCACGAGCTAAAATCCGCCACAGGGAATTTTCGGCCCGATAGCATTCTTGGCGAGGGCGGTTTCGGATTTGTGTTCAAAGGGTGGATAGAGGAGAACGGAACGGGCCCCGCAAAGCCCGGTTCTGGAATCACGGTTGCTGTTAAGAGCTTGAAGCCCGACGGGCTCCAAGGCCATAGAGAATGGGTGGTAATTACTAATTAGTTGATTATGTTCATTATCATAGTCATATGTATAGTGAATGAAAAATGATATATGCTACCACAGTGCCATGGGGGCCATGGCCCCCACTAGATAAAATTCTGGATATATGTTGTATCGAATTGCTAAAAAACTCCTCATGTTATTTTATTGGCAAAACATTTGTTTTAACACTCAACCCCCTAACTAACTAGTGAGTTTTTTAAGAGTAGTTTTCCAAAAAAAATGAAACGTAGGGGTTTTTTTGTAAATGAATTAACATGGGGGAGCTTTTAGCTATTAGAAAAAATACAGGGGTGCTTAATGCAATAAACCCTTTATGACTTGATGAAATTTTTGTTCATGCAGGCAGAGGTAGATTTTCTAGGACAGCTTCATCATCCAAACCTCGTTAAGCTTATCGGATATTGCATCGAAGACGATCAAAGGCTGCTTGTTTACGAATTCATGACTCGTGGAAGCCTCGAAAATCATCTCTTTAGGAGTAAGTTTTATTTTATAATTTTTGCTTTTAAATTATATTGTTTCGATTTTGTAGAAATTAAAAAAAAGAAAAAATCATTTCATGATCGAAGGGACGATACCTCTTCCCTGGTCCAATAGACTCAAGATTGCACTCGGAGCAGCAAAAGGCTTAGCTTTCCTCCATAGTGGCCCCGAGCCTGTCATTTATCGGGACTTCAAAACATCGAACATTTTGCTCGATTCGGTATTTTTAATATAAGTTAAGAAATTAATTCGGTTTCTCCACAGTCGAATTTTCTAACGAATTTTCTTTTTTTTCCTTAGGAGTATAACGCAAAGCTTTCTGATTTTGGTTTGGCGAAAGCCGGTCCACAAGGAGACAAAACGCACGTTTCTACGAGAGTTGTTGGTACATACGGCTACGCAGCTCCCGAATACGTAATGACAGGTATTTAATTATTCATATATATATATATATATATATATATATATATATATATATATATATATATATATATATATATATATAC